GTGTGTGTGTGTGTGTGTGTGTGTGTGTGTGTGTGTGTGTGTGTGTGTGTGGAGAGAGGACAGCCACCGTTTCTCTCACAGGGTCACCAACAGGAACCTCAAGATTGTATTTCTGGTGCCAGGCTTTCTTTGTTCTTTTTGTCCTTGTTTGTTTGGGGGTTTTTTGGGGGTTTTTTTGGCTTTCCTGTTACATTTCTAATCTTTTTGTCTCCACCCATGCATGCTTAGTCGGCTTTAGATTTAGTTAGAGATTAAGAATTTAAACAATTTGACCTTGAATTATGAAATTTTGATGTTGTTCAACGTCAGAAAATATATGGAAAAGTTGTAGATTCGGATTTGTTGCTGGCAGTGGTCAATCTAAAAGAAAGTAGGTGTCTGGGTTTAGTGCCCATATTAACGCTATTATTAGGTAAAATAAGAGGCGAACAGGACCTCCAAATTTAACAGCCGTCTCCAATAGGATCGAGCCAAATAGGCTGAGAGCCTCGAATACTCAACGGATCGACCCTATTTCAAGAATGCCAAGTGTGGGAATCGAACCAGGACCATCTGTTCCGTAGTCCAGTATGATACCCGTTGATCTAACAGAGCGCCCATGGTCTACCTTAACTCATTGACCACACATATTCATCCCGCTGGGCAGCGTTTGAAAGCGAGTAGTTTTGGAACACTTTATTAAAAAAGAAGAACTTCGTTTCTGGTACACATTTTTTTCCCAATTGTGTTTTGCTTATCCGAAACTGAAAAAGACAGGCAACAGCATGCGTACAAAATATTCAAATTAGCGTTTCTGATTTGTGTGTGATTGATTAAAATAATTAATTATGCTGCAACATTTCCTTTAGTATGCTGATCGGACATGAGTCACGGGTCTGCAACGTCCTTAACTAAAGAGTCCAATATAAATGGTTGACCCTATTTCAAGAATGCCAAGTATGGGAATCGAACCAGGAGCATCTGTTCCGTAGTCCAGTATGATACCCGTTGAGCTAACAGAGCATCCATGGTCTACTTTAACTCATTGACCACACAACTGCAACGTCCTTAACTAAAGAGTCCAATATAAATGGTTGCCGTATTGGTGTTGTCATATTATGTCATCACATTGTTGTCTAGCTCTTAGGCTAATGATAATAGTAAATTAATGTATGATTATTGTTCCCTTTCAGACCTGAGTGATAGAGTTGAAAATTATTATTTACTGCGGTCAGTGTTCTACCATTATGCAGTACAAATAGTTCCTTTACTGCTGTCGATGCCTTCAGTAATTATGGTTACTGTTACTTGACTCTCATCGATGGCTGACAGTGACTGCTTTTTTGTATTATACCATCATCACTATATTTAGGGTCACCATTTTTTAAAGAAGTATTTCTCACCTCTATTTTTAACAAATGGATGAACATAATGATAACGGGGTAATGAATACCATAGGGCCAGTTACCGAATTATTCAGAGTGTTCTGTACGTGTGATATCATATCGGAGTGCTTATAAGCTTTCCTGTTTTTTATGTTGGACAAAATTGTTGGGGGTTTTTCCCCGATGAATAAGTTGAAAAAAAGTAGTATGCCTTAGACTAGTTTATATAGATCAAGTGTTCCATTTAGCTGTTGGTATCCTGTAGGCTTGTTAATTTTCATTATGGTCACTGATATGCCGTAGACTTGTTGTATTTAATGGTATTTTATAGTAATCCGATGCACACCTGTATTAATAGATTTGTGTACTTCGAGTAGTGTCTTGCCCAATGCTCGGGGCACTTATATCAAGAAATATTGGCCCAGCCCCCCCCCCCTTTAAGGATGGTTGGTGGGTGCTGTGTTGTGGTTTGCTCCTTCTCTCAAACAGCCTCATCTTTCCTCCCTTTTTTGCGTTTTTACTCTCTTGTGACACCACTAATCTTCAGCGCTTATCATGACAGAATTGTGTTACGAGTGCCGTAAAACGCTTGCTAATACAAAACAACCCTTCCCCGTATAGAGGGAAGATGCAAAACCAGGAGAGCTTGGAGCACCTGTTGCGAATAGCAGCCTTTTCGCTAGAGACTGGGGTGTCCATTTAGAGATGCACTTGAAGAAGAAGAAGAAGAAGAAGAAGAAGGAGAAGAAGAAGAAGAAGAAGAAGAAGAAGAAGAAGAAGAAGAAGAAGAAGAAGAAAGATCTATGTGCTGCTGTTTTTGTCATCAACTTGGTAGCTGCTTAGCTTAAGCTGCATCTGTGGTGTCCTGGTTCGCCGTTGCGCGAATAATTTTTATTGAGGTCAGTTAGTTATAAGTTTTAACTGCGCTTGCAACTGCATCAATAATGTCGTAATATTATGAGTACGCATACGTGAACTCGATTCTCACTTGTGAAGTTATTTTATAGAGTCCCGCCGTCTGTATTTTGGGAAATTGTATCCCTTCAGCCCAGATACACTGGCCATAGCTGGTAGGGTGGAAGCAGCCCGCCTCTTTATTTGGCGGAGAATTGTGTTGAAGGGGGAAAAGGTCATCTATAACTTGATCATTTCTGCTTAACCTTTCCCGGTCAACTGAAAGAAGTTACTTTTTTATATTTAATTTTTTGCTTTCTCTGCTGTTTTTATTCTCTTTTATTGTAAGAAATTGATGAACGACTATGTAGATAATCAGACAGCTATGCTTTGTTTCAGAATGTGGCTGGATACAAGAATGTTGAAATTGCCTACTGCCCCAGTTATGAGAAGCAAAATATCACAGCCTCGCTCGACCGAGTTTCAGGAAGAATGGCTTCAAGGTAATTGCATACTTTATGATATTTTACAGGGGTGCTTGTTTATATGTTATTTGTTCTTGTGCCTTTAGTTTGGGGTGGGGGTGGGGGTGTGGGGAGGAGATGAAGAGGGGAGGGATGTATAAAAATCTTAATAGTCCGCTATTCAACCGACTAGATAAAAAACTGTGAGGAATGAAAATTTGAGGTTAAGGTCCGAAATGGGTTTTAAATATTTTGTTCTCTTGTGCTGTTCCGTCAAAATAGCCAGCTAGCTCTTTTAGAGACATAGAGATAATTGAGCTTGTTGACAGAAGGAAGGAAAAATAATTATGTTTATTTAAAAATGTACTGCTTCTGAGTATCTCCTGAACGTCACTGAATTTTCTTTTTCTTTCACTCCCTCTGTTTTTGTTTTTTGTCCTGCCATCTTTCTCTTTTCCTGCACAAAATCACCATACTTGTGTTTGTGTGATTCTCTTTACTCAAAACGAACTTTAAACAAACTCAAAATGAACTTTAAGAAACCCCATCTTTTCATGTTGAAGTGAGAATGCGATAATAAGTAACCCTCAATCCTCTGGCTAATTTATTCATTGTCAATTCATGCTTTAAATGTCAAACAAAATGAGTGGGTGGTCAGTGGGAGCTCTGGTGTGGTTTTTCCTTCCTTCTTATCATACTTCTATTGTCTTTATCTCTCCTCCTTCTATTTTTCTTTGTTACTTTCTTGTGACTTATCTAATCTTCGGTACTTAAGAATATATTTATTATATGACCTTATTGTGTTGCAAGTGTTATAAAAACTTTTGCGGGTGGTTTGAGGGTGCCACTAGAAGGTCCTACTTCTTAGCTTTCCCTCTATTGTTTCTACCTGTCTGTCTTACTTTTTCACAGCACTAAATAACCATTATTGTGTCGATGTGCTTCCCTTTACTCAAACAAACAAATAAGACTCTTACTAAAACTGAAAAGAAAATGAAAGAAAACTAAATTTGCATAATTCATGCATTTCTTCCTTCAGACACTGCCAGCCCCCCAAGGTGAACACGGGCTCTGTTGCTGAGACGATGGTGAACATGGAGGCCTGGATGACCGCGGGGTTCAACAAGGCTCCCTGGCTGGACACTGGTCAACTGCTGGACGCTGGGCCTCTCGGACCTCAGGGCAGGTAGGTTAAATAATATGTGAGAGGCATTTTAGTGGAATCAGGGGTTTATCAAAATGATGAAATTGAAAATACCAACATTTTTTGGCTGGTTTGTCAATTTTTATGGAATTTTTAGTTTTTAGCTGTTCACGTTTTATGTCTATTTTCAGTTTCCAAGGACTCTTGAGCTTTTGAAGTTGCCAACTTTTTCTTGCTAATTTAACCTCTGAAACCAGGTGACCCCGCCTCCTATAATCGCAAATATCTCGACTTATATTCAAGGTAGATGGATACCATCACGTTGTAACTCAAACACGATCGTACTCACATTTGAGTCATGTCTCCATTTATGGATTGGGAGAAGTAACTCATTTTGTCAACACACCTCACAAATGCTATGTACACCTCTCCTCATCTCCTGATCTTCTCTCTCTGGTATTCAGGCTGGGCTGGTTTGTTCCCATGTCCGTGGTGGATCGCTTCTGGACCAACGGTCACCGGCACATCGTTGACCACTGGAAAACCTTCACCGTCCCAAATCTGGCTCGGCGGTTCTCCTGGTGGGGTCGACCCGAGCTGACCGCTGTAGATGCTGATTTCAGGCAACGGGCGTATCGGAGTCCGAAATGTCAAGAAAATGCCCAAGGTCAACGGAAGAAGTGTGCTACACTCTTTGCGGCATACAGAGGTTTGTAGAGATTTGATTTTGGTTTTTGTTGTTAAATGATCTACTAGACACTTGGCGGTCATATTCTGGTTGGTAATGTTGACGGGGGAGCATTCAGGATTTTTCTTTTCGCATCTGCTTAAAGTGATTGCATGGCAAACTTGTACCCGACATCTGCTGTGTAGCAATTAGGCACTTCGCCATCACATACAGCAGAACTGAGTTTGATTCCCATATGGGGAAAATTTATATTAAGTATTTTGTCTTTCTGCTGACACCTTGTATCCTCCCCCAGTGATCTAAATTGTGTTAGTGGGGAAAAACACCTGCCTTAAAACAAAAACAAAAAAAATTGTTATCTGGTTATTTATTTCCAGTTAGCTCAATAAATTTTTATTCTTTGATTTAACAAAAATGATGAACAAATATCACATAAAGATAATGTCAGACACAGAGAGTGTTCAGTTCCGCTGAGCAGGAAAAATTTTCATTAAGTATCTCCATCTATCAGCTAGGATGTATCCCACTCAGCCTAGATTTGCCTAGACAGGCACAGTTGTAACGGCCGCCTAGTGTAATGTTTAAATTTGTGTAGAATGTAGAACAGTATATAATAAAGAATGGCAATTATTGCTAGATGTATGCTTTTAGTTTTGTTTGTGTAATTTTTTTTTCTCACTTAATTTGGTTTTTAGGTCCTTTGTGCACCTTTTCATTGAGTCTGCTTTATGTAATGAGTCTGATCTATTTCCCTGTTTCAGATTCAGGAATCCTGGAATCGCAGATTGAAAACCTGGACTTATGGGTAGATATTGTATGGCTTGAAGATCACTTTGACAAGTTTATCAAAGATCAGCTAGGTGCTAATGAGCCCATCCTTTTTTTCAACTGGCACCCCAACACGTTGATTGCCTCGGGACAGTTTACCAGGATCAGCTTTCCGGAGACACACAGAGACCATAAAGACGTAAGTTTGACATTTTAAAAATGTTTTCTCGTTGGATATTTTTACATTTTCCAGGTTTGCCGCTGGTGGTTGGAGCGCGCCACTGTTAGGTCCTACCTTTTTTTCTTTCCGTCTGTTAATTCTGTCTGTTGTCTTACTTTTTTTCAGCAGTAAGTGACGATTATAATTGTAGTGATGTGCTTCTCTTTACTCAAGCAAACAAACAAACCAGGTATTATGTTATGACTTACTTAAGTCTTGGAGTAGTAGATCTAGATGGTAGTTGATGTTGGTGGGGCCCCACCTACTGGTTGTCTGGTAGTTCTTGGTTAGCCGATGTTACTCGTTTCGGCTTCAGTGAGTGAGTGACACTTAGATTACCCGCGGCTTGCACGAAATCACATGAGGTCTCATTCACGTGATATGTCCTTTAGACCTATGTCACAATAACTACTATAAAGGTGTGTTCACGCTACATGTCCTGTTCTTAAGGTGCGCTTACACCACACCAGGTTTGTCGACTGTCCTAAAATTCTAAGGACTGTCCTGGATTTGGCTATCGGGGAATTTGAGAGGACATTCACTGCATCACACCAAGACCAGTCCCACTTGATGTAATTTTATGCGTTTTTAAGCAATCCGATGTTGTAATATTGGATGTCTTTTATCTCCTTATTTTTTTTTCTTTTCTTTTTGGTCAGATGTCAGAGAACTGTGACTTTCTGTGACCTCAGTTTGTTTCTTTTATTGGGTTTTGATGCCCACAGACTGTGACTTTCTATCGTCTAAGTTTCAGGCTTGTCATCCGTCCTGAATATCCTGGCACTGTTCCGGATTTGGCTGTTGGGAATTTGAGAGCCTTATCAGACACAACACCATAACGAGTCCCACTTTTATGCTGTCTAGTTGTGCTTGTTATTGCTATAAAAACTGATATACGTTTTCACATCTCTGAGTAGGTTTTAAAAATTTTACTTAGCCTACTCATTTTTTCTTTAATTGTGTTCAGAATCCCAAAATCTGTGTTTTTCAAGGACCTCAGTTTGCTTCTTTTATTGTTCAGACGTTAGAGGACTGACTATTGCCTCAGTTTTGTTCTTTCCTTGTCACTAATGTCAGGAGACTACATTTTTCAATCTCCTCAGTTTACTTCTGTTATTATAATAGATGTCAGAGGAATGACTTTCTATTGCCTCAGTTTTCTTTTTTTTTATTGTGTTAAATGTAAGAGAACTGACTCTCTATTACCCCAGTTTTCTTCTTTTCTCCCATTCAGGTGCCTGAGGACTGTGACTTTCCCGTGAACCAACTCACCAAAGTCTTGTGGGGCCCCATCAAGACCGGTGCGCCCGAAGCCTACCACATCATCTCCCACATGACCTTCACCGACCTGGAGTACGACCACATCATCGCCAACGCCTCGGAGACAGACAGCTATGTGCAGCAGCTGGCCTGTCACTGGGTGCAGCACAACCGAGCCAAGTGGGAGAAGTGGCTGCCCCTGGGACTCACGGAGAAGCCAAAGCTACACCTGGCTGGTCTGTTCCCACTCACAGGGAATTCCTGGTCACAGCCTGGGCTAGTGTTAGGTGAGGAAGTCTGACAAAAATAGGATGTATGCCACATATGGTATTGTTATGTGGCCTACTTATGATTTGTGATGTTGAAACTGATGAAAGCACAGTAACTTTCTTCCAGTAAAGGGCAAAGAAACTGTAACTTACCTTTGACCAAAAAAAAGCAAGTCGATTGTTCAAATTTTAATGGTGGGTGGTTGGCGGGTGCTCTGGTGTGGTTTGCTTCCTCTTTCCTATCAAACATCTATCGTTTTTATCTCCCCTCCTTCTTTTTTTTTGTTTGTTACTCTCTTGTAACACTTTAACCTTCAGCACTTATATGACCTTATTGTGTTGCAAGTGCCGTAAAAGTCTTACTAAAGCTAAAAAATTTAATGATAAATGCTCAGAATATTTTAATTATTGAGAAATCATGGCATTTGTTTGTTTGGTACAGAATTTAATGCAAGTTTTCTTTTCTGTCTGTTCATTGTTCATCATCACCTGCCTTTCTCAACCTGCATCTGGGTATATATATATATATATATATATTTTTATATATATATATATATATATATATATATATATATATATATATATATATATATATATATATTCACCACATTTTTGGCAACTCAGAGGAACAGAACAGCTGTTCATTGAGAATTTAACTAAGAAAAGGGAGATGTGAGAAAACTTGTACTTTTGAATGGCTGGTGAGGAAACACTCTCTTTGCTGGCACAACTATATTTTAGACTATAGCAGGCTGCCATTCTGTAGAGAAACGTAGTCTTCTGGAGGCAAAGGAAACCATGTACAGCAATATGAAATTTATGATTCTTACTGTAAGGAAATTATTCATTCCCCCCTTCCTAAGTCAAACAAGTGATAAAAGTCTTCTATGTTTAACCCTCAGAAGAAGGCATATATATATATATATATATATATATATATGTATAACCTACTCTATTTCATAATGGAAACTTTGTTTTTCAACTCAAAATATTTTGCAAAAAATGATACTGATATATGCAAGCTATGTCATTTATAATTTATACAGTTTCATGGAAGTCTCTTTTGTTATACGTGTGTGCTTAATGTTATCTGAGATAATGACCTATAATTAATGCTGAATAAAATTATTGCTTTTGTTCCAACCTACCTACCTCCCTGCCCACCTACCTACCCTTTCACCTACCTACCTACCTACTTGCCTGCCTGTCTGCCTGCCTGCCTGCCTGCATACCTACCTTCTTTCCTACCTACCTTCTTTCCTACTTACCTACCTGCCTGCCTACCTACCTACCTGCCTACCTACCTACCTACCTACATGTGTACCAACAACCTACCAATAAACTGCCTGCCTAGGTGCCAAACTTGCGGTGGAGCTGGTGAACCTTGACCCCAACACATTGCCCAACCACACGCTGGAGCTGCTGGTGGCAGACACAGAGTGCCAGTACGACACGGCCATCAGCAGGTTCATATCTATGGTCCTGGAGCCTGAGCCGCCCATCGTGGGAATACTAGGTAGGACTTGGTGCATAGTGTCACAATACGATCCCTTAGAATTTATAAAGTTCTATCCGACATTTTTGACCGATTTGAGTTACCAAGACCTTGAGATCAGAGACCAAATGTTTTATCTTCTCTGTCAAAACTGTAAGATCATTCAAGTTGTTGTCAAGATATTCAAAGAATTGCATTTGGAAAAGCTTGGCATGCTCTGAAACTCAAAATTTTTAGCGCCAAATTGTTCTAAACTAGACATTGAGCAGATAGAACTTATAATTCTAAGGTAGCGAAGAGTATTAAATGTTTTTATTTCTTAATGGCCTTGGTCCCAGCTTTTATAGTCTACCTCCTCTATGTGTGCCATCCAGACAAAGCTGTATGATCTTGCATACTGCTTTAACCTTCTAAGTGTTGCTATTAAATGGGCTGTAGTGTCAGGAGAAATTGGATGATTTCACCATAATTATGTTGATAAATGCTCGAGAAGAGGCAAATCAAGCAAGTAAAGGTCGCAGACCTATATACATTTCCAGAAAGTACAATGTAAATTGGATGTAAATCTCATTTGTGAAGGAGTTGAAATGTTTTGCTATAAAAATGGGGATAAATAAACCAAAATAGCAACTCAAGTTACGACTGATTAACCCTTTGAGCTCTCGCCACCAGAACACGGGTGGCGCATAAAACTGCCCGTATGCATGGCCACTGGTAAACTGGTGAGCGAGACCCTATTCCCAAACTGGCCCACCTGGGACAAAACACGTGCAGGAAACCATGTTTACCACACAGGATGTCACTAATTATTTTGAAGATCTTTCTGAATTAGAGATGCCAGTAATGATGAGGACTACCATGAGTGGGATATGGAATGTGATTCTAACGATCACCTAAATGTTAGTAATATATCGCTCAGGAGCTCAGGCAGAGGGACACTGCAGCCTCAGGAGGTCAGGGCTCAAAGGGTTAAATCCAGCTGCTACACCTTAGAAGGAAACTGACAGCTGATTTAACTGGCTATCAGTACCAGGTGAATTGAGATTGTCTGTCAAAAAGGCCAAAGGCAGTCAAATCTTATCTTGTATAGTGTTGGAATTTGAGACAAAAGCAAAAGGAGAGCATGCATTTTCTGTTTCAGGTACCGGATGTTCTGATCCTGCAGAGCGCATCGCGTCCCTCTCCAAACATTTCCACATGCTGATGGTGAGCTATGGCGCTGAGGCCCAGGACCTATCGGACAGACAGAAATATCCATACTTCTTCCGCACAGTTCCACCAGTGCAGCATTACACGTGAGTGGCTATTGATATCGAATGTGCTCTTGGAACTGTTTGGAAGAAATAATGAGAAGCTGTTTAAAGTCGAGTGAGATTGTATTGACAAATGACTACGAAGAATGCCTCTTGCCATGCGGCATTTTGAGAAGTCGATATGAATACTGATTTGGATTTGTTTGCTTTTTAAATTTGTTTTAGGTATGTGTACCCAGACCTTTTCAAAGAGCTTGGCTGGGATGTGGTCGGAGCACTCGCTGAGGGAGGCCAGGAGTTCCCAGGGTATCACCTGACCTTACAGGATCGACTCCACCACCATGGCATATCTCTCATCGTACGCAGGAAGTTCCTTAACACCACCGGAACACCAGGCGTTAGAGAGGTAATTTTGTCTGACTTTGTATCTTTAGTTTATTTAAGTACTCTGTTACTTTGTTTGTCTGGGCTTTTAATAATAAAGATTATAATAGTAATAATAGCTAATAATAATATTATTATAATGGCAATAGTAATGATGACAATGACAATAATAATAATGATGAACTCAGTTTATCTAAACTTGCTTTTCCATTCAGGTGGAGAATTGGCAGAGACCGTGATCACACATGCCTGTGATGAGTCCAAAAAAGAAGATTTCGAAGATTGTCACTTAATCAAAATGTACAACTTTTTTCTTTCAGATACTGCAGGAATTCAAAATGCAAAACGTGCGGGTAATCATAGCAGATGTGTTCAGCAACGTGGCGAGAGAGATTATGTGTGAAGCGTACAAATTGGTGAGATTGCGTTAATTGTATTATATTACAACAACCTCTGTTTTCATGTAATTAATTGATTCGTTGATTGTACTTCAAATGATTGTCCTAAACTGAACTGTGGTGAATTGAATTAGTAAGATTACTTTGTTTTTATATTTAATAGAATATCTTTTTGAAAAAAATGCTGTCAGAAATGTTTGGTTGCGTAAACGGAGCTTTAGCTTACTCCCCCACTTTTTATTTTCTGTGGGTTTTTTGTTTTCATTCTTTTCTTTACCTTTATTTTATTTGTTGTTGTTTTCTGTTGGATTCTGTTAAACTTGCTGTCAAATTCATTTTTTTAAAAGCCAGTTTTGGGCTAGTAGCCTACTTAGTCTAGGAAGTCTTAGTACTTTTAGGCCTTAAGATGAGACCCTAGAAATATTAATTAGTACACTATGTTTTTTCAAAAATCTAATTTTATCGTCCTTTACTTTAGTCTCTGCACTCGTTCATATTGACGCCCTTATTATGATTTTTTATTTGTTTGTTAGCACATCTATTGTAATTGTTTGTTAGCACATCTATTGTAATTGTTTGTTAGCACATCTATTGTAATTGTTTGTTAGCACATCTATTGTAATTGTTTGTTAGCACATCTATTGTAATTGTTTGTTAGCACATCTATTGTAATTGTTTGTTAGCACATCTATTGTAATTGTTTGTTAGCACATCTATTGTAATTGTTTGTTAGCACATCTATTGTAATTGTTTGTTAGGCTTTTTTTTATATTTTTTAAATAAAGTCTTTTATAGAGGTCAGTCTGTTCGAGTAAAGATGATTTTTTGCTGTTGTTCATTTTGTTATTTGATGCAACTTATTGAAAATTGTATTATTACTTTTCGTTCTTCTGTCTCAAAGAGTATTGTCTGAGGGTGCTCTGGTGTGGTTTGCTCGTTTTTTCCTATCAAACGACTGCTATCTTTATTTCTCCTCCTTTTCTTTTAATGTTGCTATGTAGCAACACCGCTAATCTTCAGCACTTATATCGACCTGTTTATGTTATAAGTCCTGTAGGACTCTTTCTGAACCTAAACTTACTTCTTGTCTTTAGACAGTGTTTGTTAAATAAGGTCCGTTTTCTTTTCAACAGCAAATGACAGCCCACGACGGGTATGTGTGGTTCCTACCTTCCTGGTACCCTGAAGACTGGGTGGATGTAGAGTATTACAACAGCGAGCCGAACCACCAGGAGGCCTATGCTCAGAGGGAAAATGTGCCCTGCACCTCCGCTCAAGTAGAGTATGCGGCCCAAGGTCATTTTGTGCTGTCAAAGGCGTTCACAGCTCCTGCAGATACGGAGGTGGCGGGAGGCATCTCGGTGAATGATTATCGGACGTTGTATGCTCGTCGCTGTGGAGAACAGGTGTGGTGTCTTCGCAAACTCAAGATTTTTTAAATATAGTTGTTTTTGTATTTGTTTTTTTTTTAAAGAGTAGTTGATCATTCTTAATTAATGTCATGAATTAAAACCTAAAGTCTTAGGTCAAATTTGGTGTCTACTTACTGTGTCTTAAATTTGCCTTTGGAATTCACAAATAATATCAGGTGCTTGCCAACTGTCCTGAATTTCCTGGGACTGTTTGGAATTTGCTTGTAGTAATCGAAACTGTGAGCATTTTCGTAATTGGCCCCGCAGGAAATCGCGGTCTTGCGGCCGCACTTGCGGCCACGTTTTTCGTAGAGTTCCGCAATAAACCTGCAATTTTTTGCAATTTTCGCAATTTCCGCAATTTCTTGCAAATTTAGGCAAAAATACATCAACGCTTTAATTTTAATAGAATTTTTAATACGAAATGGTGCGAGCCGATAGGCCTACGTAAATCATGGTATCGGCCCAGCTCAAGCCTACTGAGCGTACTCTAAAAGCTGTAACCGGAAATTCAGGCCGAAATGCATCATGTACAACACAAACTGAGACATAGGCTAGGCCGAGAAGGTGGCCTTCTCTGGGCTAGGCCTTTATCTAATGTGTGTAAGCGTGCGCGTGTGATAAGGAAGTAGGTGTGTGTGTGTGTGAGGTGTACGTGAGTGTGTTTGCGTGTGTGTGCGCGCGCGTGAATATTGTTCGTACATGATGCATGTGTCTACATACGTGGTGACCGGGCACCTAGTCTCAGTATCTACGTACACGGTAGCCGGAATGAAAATAAACCAATATTTGTCCTGTGCTGTCACTTGTTGAAATTTTTTTAAAAAGTTATACACGCGTCTTGTCGGGCTCGCCATCGTTACCGGTCAGTTAACCTGTGCTTTCGCATCACATTGTGAGTACCGGTTGGGGTCACCAAAGTTCATTCAAAGTCTGTGCGCTACGAAGTATAGAGCTCCGGAATGGGAGGAATTATTGATTTTTTTTTTAAAGGTACAGCCGGGGAAGGGCTGTAGTTGAAGGCAACACCGGATGACAAAAACTGAACTTGGAATTCTGAACTGCCCGGTTACCGTGTACGTGACACTGAGACTACATGCCCGGTTGCCGGTTACCGTGTACGTAGACACTGAGGCTAGGTGTCCGCGTACCTTGTGCGTAAACACCCCGTTATGTAAAACGCCTTAAGCTGTGTTCACACGGGAGTGGGTGCTATAGAAATGATCTAGATCTACATTAGTTCATGTATTGTTAATACATGGGGAAAAAAAATTGCTGTATTTTAGGATTTGACTTAGTGTTAAAACAATACCATACCGGTTTTAAAACAGAAAATATCTGAAATAGATTTAAATACAGATTACCGGTGTATCGAAGGTTTCAAGAGAAAAATAGAACAGGATCTGATTTGATTGGAGCATAAGCTTATTTTGTATGTTGTTTCGAAAATCCCTATTGTCAATTTTTTGGGTTTTTTATAGACTAAACCTCATACACTTCTAGGTTTTTGCATGAACCAAGTACCCGGTATGTACTAAATTTGGTCAAATTTTATGCCTTCATTAAAAAGTTATTACGAAAACCGAGGGTTCTGTTATTTTGTGTCACGCGTTATCATATATTTTTGGTCGATTACTTTATTGTTAACATACTCATGTGTTGTTACTTGTAAATGTTGTTAATAACATTTGATGAATTTGTATTGTGGGTCATGATTTTTTAAAAGGCTGTGCTGCTTTTATGCTACCGGTACTCAAAATTGTCATGTTTTTTAAACTAATAATGTTAAGCCCGTATTAATGCCCCTGGGATGGGAAGGTTGCAAATTTTGCAATTTTTAGGCAGTTAACCTTTGCAATTTTTTGCAATTTTTCCATTTCAAAAATGCAATTTTCCGTGGGGCCAATCATATACACTACACCAAATTCAGTCCCAATTGATGTGATTTTGTTCATTGTTAGGTAATCTGATGTTTTTTCTTCTCATCTAGTCATCAATTGAAAAAGTTTTATGACCTACTTTTATATGATAATTTTCTTCAATTTCCTATGATACCAGAACGTAGAAGAGAGCAAGTTTGCCAGCTTTGTGTACGACGCTGTGTGGGTCTACGCCAATGGCTTGCACAACTTGCTAGAGCGACACCCCGGAGCACTGGAGAGTTTGCACACGAAGAGCACAGCAGAGTAAGTTTGGCTGCATTTGTT